CTATTAATGGAGTTCTCCAGTAAAGTGTCCCCCAAGTGCTTGTTCTGTTTGCCATTTTTTTAGTTACTTGAATAAAGGCATAGTTAGTATGCTCATCAAATTTACAAAGATGGCAGAGATTGCAAAGGTACTGAGTAGCACTATATCCAAAAGAATACTAGATAAGAACCTTGGACTAAATCAAAGATGATATTTAATGAGCTTAACTATAATGTCTTATACTTGGATTCAAAAAATCAAAATCACAAACATGGGGAGAGTGGTTAAACAGTGATTTGTCTTTAAAAGGTCTAGGGGGGGTATTAGATTAAAAGCTCTATTTGAGTTAATAATGTGATATGGCAGTCAAAAAAAATTAATGAGATCTTGCATTGCTTTGAGAGAAACATAGGTACCAGGAATAAGGAGGCAATAGTCTCACTGTACTCAGGTCTGGCCAGAAAAATAAAATTTTTCAAAGTTGGTTTTACCGTGTTTGGCTTTGAGTGACACATTTCAAGAAGGATATTGATGAACTGGAGAACATACAAAGATGACCAACCTAGAACAATGAAGTTCATGCCAAATATGGATCAGTTCAAAGAACTCAGGTTGTTTTGCCTAGGAAAGAGAAATCTTTTACTCCAAAGGACATAAAAGCTATCTTCAAGCACTTAAAAGGCTGTCATATGAAAGGGGATTAAATTTGGTCAATTTGTCCTGAGAGTGCCTATCTACATTGGAAGGAAGTTACAAAGAGGTGAATTCATATGAGGAGAAGCTCCCTAAAAATCAGCGCTAGTCAAAAGTAGATGAGTGGAGGAGCTAGTGTTTTCTCTCTCACTGGACTCATTTGAGAAAAAGCTGTATGTAATGAAAAATAAAAAATAAAAAAGAGAGAAATGGCTATATGATCACTCGTTGTCCTGGACTTTCTTGTTTAGGCATGGTTGGATAGGATGGCTGCTAATGTCCTTTCCAATTCTGAAATTCTGCATTCTCGTGCTATAAGTCAATGGTGTGACATACTTAAATACTTAAATGAATCTATGATCTCATCCATTTGGAAAGTCCCTTCAAAGATACAGATTGCAACTAATTCATGTCTTCACATTCTGTGTGGCACTTATGTCCTTGCACAAGTTCACCAAGAGTGAACATTCACCCAACATGCTAAATGTTCTAAAAATCACACAACTTTTAGAAGATCTGTAAACTTTAATTTGACTGTGGGTACAACATAGGGACCAAAACAGCAAATGAATTTTAGACGGAATCAAGAGGGGCAAAGCACACAGAATCCGGAGGTGGTAGTCCCACTGCACTCTTCTCCGTTCATATCATTATTGAAGTATTGTGTTCAATCCTGGGAGCGACATTTTTAGGAAATGCTGGAGAGCATCAAGAGAAGGGCTACCAGAACAGTGAAGTGACTGGAGTGAAAGGAACTTGTCACAGCAGGAGTGTGGTTGTAAGAACTGAAGATACTTAGTTTGGAAAAGAAAAGACATAAGGGAAACACGATAATGGGTCCCCAAGCATGTGAAGAGATGTCATGTGGATTATGGCTTGAATTTCTTTTGCTTGGTCCTAACCAATCGGTCCCAACTATTCCCAATGAGTAGAAGGTTCTGAGAAGTCAATTTAGGCTTTAAAAAAGGAAGAGCTTCCTCCAGTAAGAACTATACCCAAATAGAATGAATGGCATAGGAAGAGAGAGAATTCTTCAAGCAAAATGGTCTGGATGACCATTTGTTGGGATATTGCAGACAGAACTCCTGTGCAAGGAACTGTGTTGTGTTGTTTAGTGTGAAGGGTCCGAGCCTGGAGCGTCGGATTTGAAGCCATAAGATCTAAGTTTGACTCCCAGAGATGCCAACGACTTGCTGTGTGAGCTGAGGCAGGGAGCTTAACCTTCCTTGTCCTATAATCCCTTCTCTGTGAAATGAAGGGATTAGACAAATGACCTCTGAAGTCCCTTCCAATATGGAGATTCTCCGACTTGTGGAGCTTCCTAATTACTGGGAGACCACGACAACAACAATAATAATAATAATAGCTAGCATTTCCATGGTGCTTCATGTTGTGCAAAGTTCTTTCCATGTTATCTCATTTGATCCTCACAATAAGTTCAAGTGATTAGACCCAAACACAGTTAATTATAATGCACAATATTATATGATAAATCTCTTTGAGAGGTATATAGAGGAGTGTGCTAATAAATATTTAATGACAGCCTGGGGAAAAAGTATCAAGGACACATTTTCAAGTTTAATCCGTATTATTAACGTTTTATCCATCATTTTCCTAAGTTTAGACAATCAACAAAAGATAAATTAAACCCCATTGTGTCCTGTTTGTTGACTTCTGAGGTATGAATGGTCAAACTGAGGATTTAACTATTTGTTCTCTCAAAGCCATTACAAGCTGCCTCCAGTACACCAATTCAATTCAATAAACCTTGATCAAGCATCTGTGTCACAGGCATTGTACTAAGTGCAGGGGATACAAACAAGAAAAAGAAAGACAGTTCCTACCCCCAAGGAGCTTACAATCTAATAGGGAAAGGCAATATATAAGATGAAACCCCAAAGCGGGAGGGTGTGTGAAGACGTACTAAGGACCAAGGAATTAAAACCAAGAAGAGCTGCTGATGAAAAATGAAGAGATAGCTTGGCAAGTTCTAAACCCTCTGTAAAGGAGGGTTTGGGGAGGAGTTCATTGCTTTGTCCTCCAGCCCTCCAGTCAGAGGGGATTTGCAATTGGGGGTTCTAAGAAGGTGCTGAATGACTCTGCATGTTGATGAGATTTCAGGTGATCAGCTTATCCTGGGGGTGGCACCATCAGAGAAGAAACTGAGCCGAGCCACAGATGGAAAATAGACATAGAACTTGGTAAACGCCAAGTGTTCTGTGAGATCATGGTGCCTTGGAGCAAGGAGGCATTTAAGTTTGTTGGATAGAACTGAATTGGATATGAAGATTTGTAAAGGGCTTCATCTAGCTCCTGACTGGCTTCTATATGATCACTTCTTGTAGAAGGGACACGCCTTCTGTGTGAGGGAGATGTGTCTAGAAGACAATCTAAATATGCCGTAGCCTTGAAGGTTCCAATCTTCTCCTGGTTCCTAGAAGGTCCCTGGCACAAGGTATCCATCTATGTTCAGTCTCCTCCATTTCATGTTCGCAGTTCTGCCAACTGAAAAGGTCACAAAAGGAATGGGAAAAGGGACTGGGAGGTACGGTATACTGTTCCACGTGAGAAGTAGAGGAAGACACCAGTTTCTTTTACTGCCCAGGACCACTTTATTTCATCCAATGGGGCTGTCAGCTACTCTCATTTCTTCTTCCTTGGTAGGTGAAACCACAGTTCCACACCCAATAGCGTAAGGTTTGCCACCAACGTCTAATTCTGCCTGCATCCACTGGTTCCCAAGCAACATCACAGAGAAGCAGCCAAAAGAGAATAGAACGAGGGTGATGAAGGCAAAGACCTTTCACTAGTAATAGTGGAAATGATTCTCCATTGGGCAGTATGCATGGGGGCCATTAGAAATTTAAATGGCTCAAAGTTTGCCTATTGGCTTCCACAGCCTTGAGACCAAGAAAACATTTCAGCAGAAGACTACCCCAGCTATAAATCAAATTGAGAAGAAAAGAACTGCAGGAATAAAGATGAAACCAATGCCCACCTCTCTGCAGAGCCCACAGTGACAGGTGGCATCAACAGTTACCTCCTCAAACAGCTTAGCCACATAATGAACTTGTACCGAACAGGAGGAGAGCTGCATAAAGCACCCAGACATCAACAGGCATAAAAATAGGGCAGCATTTTTTCTGAGAATCCCTATAGGTCAGGGACAATCACTTGGCTATCCACAGGCAAATTACTGGCATTGCCAGCATAGCTTAGGTCTGCAGTAATATTGGCTTATGATTCTTAGTGACACTGTCACCCACTCTGCCTAAGTAAGAATGACATTGACATTAACACTGCTGGTATTTACTATCAATGGAAAGGAAAGGAAACTTTTAAGACACCAGTGGCTCTGGTGTGAGGTCTTTCGATAGGCCAGTCTGCCCAAGAGGAGGAGGAGATGGTGTAGGTGTTGGGAATGTATGTGGTGGGAAGCCACCTCCACTGGATACCTGGGATTCCACTGTTAATGACTCATTCCTTTGTGTTTGTCATTAATACCTAAATGAAAATGACTTTAACTAATTATTTACCTACCTGATAGGAAAGAGGCTGGAGGGAGGAATGGAGGATAGGAAAAGGGAGGAAACAAGGATTTATTAAGGACTTACTGGTTATCAGGCTTGGTGCTACGTGCTTTACAAACAATTTTTCCATAGGAAGATCACTAGGAAGCTGAGATAAGATGACGGATAATAGGGAGGGGGAGATAATCCCCCAAAAGAAGGGATCTAGGAGGTACCAAAGACCACTTCACAATTTAACTCAGTTTATGGATCATTGGTAGTGTGTAGACAATATTAGTAATACCAAAATATGTATGAGGGATAAATGGAAGAAGTACTAAAGTAGATTTTACTGTGAAGATGTGAATTTACATTAAAAAATTCAAACTTGAATAGTGTGTTTCTGCATGAAGTGGACATACATGGCTCATAGGGTCTTCTGTATAGGCAGGCAGAAAGGAAAGATGGTGGCTAAGCCAGTTATTTCCCTGCTTTAGGGAAGGTATAATGCAGCGCATAATTGTACCCCTGCTCCAATAAATGATATAGACCATCAAATTTCCTGAGAAAGGTAAGGTCTCATTCAGAATGCTTCCTTTTTGTTTTGTTTTGTTACTTGCCATTTGGGATTATCCATCCTCCTTAACAGGGAGAATTTAGAGCTGGCTGTAATTCTCCCAACACCATCGGCTAACATTGTGTTAACATACTTCAAATGCTTTTCCAGGCACCCGTGCCTTTGAAATGTTATCTCCATTTCTAGCTGGCCTGATAGCCTTTATAATTCAATTTCTCTGTCTTATACTTGTCTCATGACAGGATTCTAAGCCAATCATTGATTAGCCAGCAAAGGACTCATGAAAGCGAATGGCAGATATTTAACTTTGAGCTGGTTAGTTCACTTGGTCAAAGTGTGATACTTATAAGCTCAAGCTCCTGAGTCACTTTGCATAGAGGAAAAATTCAAGTTCGATGACTGGGCTGCGTTAGTGGTTGTCCCTCATTGGAAATCACCAAGCAAAGACTGGAAGATCGCTTATTGGTTATGTCATAGAAGGGATTCTTTTTCAGGTAATGGTCAAACCATGTGGCCTCTGAGGGCCTTTCTCACTCTGACATTTTTTGATTCTGACACTCTATCCCCTACTCTGTGTATTTTCACTGTTCCCTTTGCCTGGCAACTTCTTCTTCCTCAGCTGGTTTCCTTGGCTTCCTTCAGGTCCCAAATAAAATCCCACCTTCTACAAGGAGCCTTTCCCAATCCCTCTTAATTCTACTGTCTTCTCTCTATTGAATATCTCCAATGGATTCTGTATATCGCTTCTTTGTGCATGGTTTTCATGTTGTCTTTCCCCATTACTCTGTGAACTCCTTGAGAACAAGGACTGGTGTTTTGTGCTTCTTTGTATGCCTGGAACTTAGCACAGTGCTTGGCACATAACAGCTACTTAATAAATTTTCAATTACTTGTCCACTAATTGCATTCTTCATCCCAAATGATCATCTTACAAATACGTGTCCCCATTCATAGTAGGGTCCAGGCAAGGAAGAAACTCACCACAGTCACCAACAATTAAAAATTAATTCAGAGTGGGGCAGCTAGGTGGTGTAGTGGATAGAGCTCCGGCCTTGGAGTCAGTGGTCCTGAGTTCAAATGTGACCTCAGACACTTGACACTTACTGTGTGGCCCTGAGCAAGTCATTTAACCCTGATTGCCTCACCAAAAAGAAAAAAAAATTCAGAGTGCATGTCTTGTTAATCATGGGCCTATACCACTATGATTTCTTTCAAATGACAGGACAGAAATTCATTCACTAAGAAGTCTTCTCTCTGTCACTAACCAGCTATGGGACTTTGGCCAAGTTTCTTCATCTGGAAAATGAAGGAATTGGATGGATTTAAGGGACTCAACTCCAACTCTAACATTTTATGATTATACGGTACAGGGCAAAGAATAATGACCCTATAATCAGAGGCCTTAAGCTCAAATGCTGCCACAGTGTGACCTTAGACAAGTCACCTAATTTCTCTGGGCCTCAGTTTCCCCTTCTGTGATAATAAGCATGCTGGTCTAGCCGGCTTCCTTGGACCTTTCTAGCTCTGTATTATAATTCTGCGATGAAGCAGGCCTTGCCCAGGACTTATCCTTGGGATCACGCTGCCCTCTAGTGTTTCACTTTCAAGGAACTGTTAAAATCGAACACAAGAGGTAATTTCAATTTAGGATCTCAGAGCTAGGGCTGAAAGGGACTTTAGAGAACATCTAATCTAGCCTTCTCCTTTTCCAAATGAGGAAAGTGAGGCCAAAGGGGTGAAATGAATTTGTTTTAGGCAGGATATTAAATTTAGTTCTGGTGCTGAAGAACGAGATGTAATTCCAGTCAGAGGTCATCTGTTCCAAAAACCTTTACTAACTGTGTGACCTTGGTAAAGTAACTGAACCTGCCTGGGCCTCAGTTTCCTCATCTGTAAAATGAACACCTTGGACCTTATGCCCTCTGAAGTCCCTTTCAGTCCTAAAGCTATGATCCATCACGACAAACTCCTAAGTACTATCCCAATTCTTTTGCGGATTTTTCTATCAATCTGTGTCAAAACTATGGTGATCTTTTTTTTTAATATAGAAAATTCTTTTGTAGACATAATCACTTGCAAATGTGAGAGAGTGAGACGTATTAGGTTGGGAGGGATAAAAGCTCTGAACTCAGAGTTGAAGGAATCATGAATTCTGATCCTGGCTCTAATGCTTACTAGTTGTCTGACCCTGAGCAAGTCACTTAACTTTTAGTCTCAGCCTCCTCATCTCCAAAAAGGGGACAATAATATCTGCAGTCCCTATAGACAGTCATTGCAAAGGCGTGGAGGTGGGAAATAGAGTCATGTGTAAGGAAGAGCAAACAGCCCGGTATGATAGGACCATAAAGTGTTGGAGGCAGGGGAGGGGAAAAGGCACGGGGTTTAAGAGTGGTTGTTGTTTAGTCGTTTCAGTTGCGTCTGACTCTTTATGACCCCATTTGGGGTTTTCTTGGCAGAGATACTGGAGTGGTTTGCCATTGCCTTCTTCAGCTCATCTTACAGATGAGGAAACTGAGGCAAATGTGTAAAAAAGAAAGAGCCAGGAAGTAAAGACCTTTAAATGCCAAAGGATTTGACATTTGGTGCTAGAGGCAAAAGGGGACACCTGTAGTTTGTGGAGCAGGGGCTTGCTAGGGTAAGATCTGGGATTTAGGAAAAAATCCTTTGGCAGCTCTGTGGAAGATTGGAATGGAAAGAGACTTGAGATGTGGAAACCAAATAAGAGGCTTTTGCAAGAGTCAGAGGGAGAAATAATGAGGTCTGAAACTTAATAGAAGGAGATAGTGGCTAGAAGGGGACATATACAAGAGATACTGTGGACAGAGAAGTGACAGTATCTCTTGTATATGGGGTGATTGAAAGGAGTCAAGGATTGCCCTGACATTGTCAGAGCAGAGCACTAGGACAATGGCGGTACCCTCCATGGAAAGAAGGCAGTATGAATGAGGGATGGGTTGGGGGGTGGGGGGAGGGGGCAACGAACTCTGTTTTAGACCCGAGTTTGAGACGCCTGGAGAACCATGAGATTGGGAGGCAGTTAGACTTGTGCAACAAGAGATGGGGGAGACACACTAGGAAAAGATCTGTAGATCTGAGAGTCATTTGCATAGAAATGGAGATTGAACTCAAGGGAGCTGATAAGGTCACCCAGTTAAATGTAGTCTGGGGAGAGAGAAGAGAGCCTAGTAGGACAGAGCCTTAGGGCACATCCAGAGTCCAGGAGGGTGACACAGATGATGAGTTGATAAAATAGACTGAGAAGGAGTGGCCAGTTAGATAGCAGGGGAAAACAGTGTCACAAAAACCCAGAGTACCACCAGGAGAAGGTAGTCAACAGCATCAAAAACTGTAGAAGTCAAGAATGTGGCAGGAAGAGGGTGACCGTCTATGGCACAGAGGTCATTGATTTAAGTACCATGGACCAATCAGCTTTGCTGTTCTCCACGATCAAAGGCTGTCACCTACCCCGGCTCAGTCATCACATCTGCTGTTTATTGTACTTTTTAGGAGCACCTGGTGGGATTGTACGGACGGAATACTGCTGCAGTGGTCATGCACGGAGTTGTTCTTATGTAGTTTCCAAATGGTTACAGGGAGTCTTCCTTCCCCTCCCCCACCCCCTTCAGTAGTAAAGACTGAAGAGGGTTCAAGGGTACATTAACAAGATGAGGTCAAGGGTCCTCAGGATGGCAGTGAAGGGCAGTGACAAAAGCAGAGACCTGAGGGGGCAATGAGATGGGCTAATGAGGAAACAAACTGAGACCGCTCCCTTCCCCCAGAATGAAGCAGTACCAACACTGACCTTACCAAGGTCACCCACTCCACCCATACAACTTTTTCTATGGGTGGAGTGAAGTGGTTGAGGTATGTTTGATTCTGTGGGCATTGTGTCTGACCTCACGGGAGCAGGAAGGAAACAATGCTACTGTATTTCCTTGTTAAATAGGCTCAGATGTGAGTCTGATCTTTATGTGCCTAGTAATAAAGCTGCCCTACTTTCAAATGATTGTTGGTAGCACGATACTTGCAGAGAAACTGAATAGGGAGCAGCTAGGTGGTGCAGCGGATAGAGCACCAGCCCTGGAGTCAGGAGGACCTGAGTTCAAATCCAGCCTCAGACACTTGACACTTACTAGCTGTGTGGCCCTGGGCAAGTCACTTAACCCCATTGCCTAGCAGAAAGAAAGAAAGAAAGAAAGAAAGAAAGAAAGAAAGAAAGAAAGA